CAAAGTCACCAATCAAGAGAAGACTTCACCAGAGTGAATACAGAGGGTTCACCACAAGATGGAAACCATTGGTGAACCTCAAAAACAGGAAGGCCAGATTAGAGTTTGCCAAACGACATCTAAAAAAGCCTTCACAGTTCTGGAACAACATCCTATGGACAGATGAGACCGAGATCAACTTGTACCAGAGTGATGGGAAGAGAAGAGTATGGAGAAGGAAAGGAACTGCTCATGATCCTAAGCATACCACCTCATCAGTGATCATGGTGGTGGTAGTGTCATGGCGTGGGCATGTATGGCTGCCAATGGAACTGCTTCTCTTGTATTTATTGATGATGTGACTGCTGACAAAAGCAGCCGGATGAATTCTGAAGTGTTTCGGGAATATTATCTGCTCATATTCAGCCAAATGCTTCACAACTCATTGGACGCTTCACAGTGCAGATGGACAATGACCCAAAGCAGACTGCAAAAGCAACCAAAGAGTTTTTTAAGGGTAAGAAGTGGAATGTTATGCAATGGCCAAGTCAATCACCTGACCTGAATCCGATTGAGCATGCATTTCACTTGCTGAAGACAGAACTGAAGGGAAAATGCCCCAAGAACAAGCAGGAACTGAAGACAGTTGCAGTAAAGGCCTGGCAGAGCATCACCAGGGATGAAACCCAGCGTCTGGTGATGTCTATGCGTTCCAGACTTCAGGCTGTAATTGACTGCAAAGGATTTGCAATCAAGTATTAAAAAGTGAAAGTTTGATTTATGATTATTATTCTGTCCCATTACTTTTGGTCCCTTAACAAGTGGGAGGCACATATGCAAACTGTTGTAATTCCTACACCGTTCACCTGATTTGGATGTAAATACTCTCAAATTAAAGCTGACAGTCTGCAGTTAAAGCACATCTTGTTCGTTTCATTTCAAATCCATTGTGGTGGTGTATAGAGCCAAAAATGTTAGAATTGTGTCCATGTCCCAATATTTATGGACCTGACTGTAGATACTGCAAATTACGCCATTTTTCTGCTATACAGCGCTGCGCTAGTTTAACGGACAATTGCGCGGTCATGCAATACGGTACATAAATGAAATTTACATCCTTTTTTTCCCCACAAATTGAGCTTTCTTTTGGTGGTATTTGATCGCCTGTGCGGTTTTTATTTTTTGCGCTATAAAAAAAAAAAGGCTGAAAATTTTGAGGAAAAAAAAACAATATTTTGTAGACGCTATAACTTTCACACAACGCAATCAATATACACTTATTGGGATTTTTTTACCAAAAACATGGAGCAGAATACATTTTGGCCTAAATTTATAACCAACTTTGAGTTTACTATATATTTTTTATAGCTGAAAGTAAAAAATATTGTTTTTCTTCAAAATTTTTGGTCTTTTTTTGTTTATAGCGTGAAAAATAAAAAGCGCACAGGTGATCAAATACCACCGAAAGAAAGCTGTATTTGTGTGAAAAAAAGGACGTAAATTTTGTTTAGGTGCAGCATTGCATGACCGCGCAATTATCAGTTGAATTAGTGCAGCGCCGAGTAGCAAAAAGAGGCGTGGTCAGGAAGGGGGATAAATCCTCAGGAGGGCGAGGGGTTAAAGCTGACAGTGCAGTTAAAGCACATCTTGTTCGTTTCATTTCACATCCATTGTGGTGGTGTATAGAGCCAAAAATGTTAGAATTGTGTCGATGTCCCAATATTTATGGACCTGACTGTATATACACATATAAGTATGCATTTCTGATGGCTAAATTCCTTATTGTAACTAGAAGTGACACAATGAATAAAAAAAAAAAGCTTCCATGTGTCTGTGATTACTCAGAGATGGGGATACTTTCCTCCCATTGCTCTCCTGATTGCCTGCTCTCCAAATACAGCCTTTAAATCAACAGGGGGCTTCATTAATATCACATCTCTTGATGAGCCGCTCGGCAGGTTGCAGCACATTCTGATCACTGGCGGCTTAGGATGGGAATGTTATAGAAACGTACAGAATTTGCACCTTCTATCCAGAGGGCAATGATCAGAGAGGACGGTCTTCTGACAGATACTGTACCTACCCCCCACCCCACCCTCCCTCCCTCAAACACAATGGCATGGAGTTTTACATTGAAAGTGAACCTGTATTGTGAGCATGCAGAGCAAAAACAACAGATTCACTTTACATGCTAATCTCTAGAACTAACTACAGTATCTATAGCATGTGTCTTCAGTATTTATCTATCTTTAATATTTATCTTCTGAATATATGCATAGTAATTATCTACAATCTATAATAAGTACCTACCTATCTACAGTACCCATTCACCTATCTATGAATCAGATTTATTTTCAGCACTTGTCATGTATATTCTTATTTATCTACATCTAATTTATCTACAGGATTAATCTATTTACAGTACCTATTGTATTTAATTGATCTATATCTATCTACTTTACCTACAGTAGCTATGCTATCAATCATATTTAATCTTTTCATAATGAATCGATTTGTAATATCTATCTATAGTAACTATACCTCTATTGCAATCTACTTTATGTTACAGTAACTATCATATCTAATCTATCATATTTATTTACAGTATCTAATCTATTGTATCTATAGCATTTATCTACAGTAACTATCTATAATTTGTATCTTCAGCTCATATCTATAGTATTTCTTTCCTGTATCTATCACATCCAATCCATAGCATGCATGTATCTACAGTACTTATCATATCTAATCTATAGCATTGTTCTACAGTATCTAGATATCTATAATATTCATCTTACGTATATATCTACAGTACCTATTAAATTTAATATATCTATTTAATCATATCTAACCTACTGTATCTACAGTACCTTTTACATTTAATCAGTTTATCTATCTATCTATCTATCTATCCTTCCCATATCTATCTATCTATCTATCTATCTATCTATCTATCTATCTATCTATCTAATCTTCAGTATCTATCTATCTATCTATCTATCTATCTATCTATCTATCTAATCTTCAGTATCTATCTATCTATCTATCTATCTATCTATCTATCTATCTATCTATCTAATGATATCTAATCTTCAGTATCTATCTATCTATCTATCTATCTATCTATCTATCTATCTATCTATCTATCTATATATCCTTCCCATATCTATCTATCTCCTTCCCACATCTATCTATCTATCTAATCTTCAGTATCTATCTATCTATCTATCTATCTATCTATCTATCTAATCTTCAGTATCTATCTATCTATCTATCTATCTAATCTTCAGTATCTATCTATCTATCTATCTATCTAATCTTCAGTATCTATCTATCTATCTATCTATCTATCTATCTATCTATCTAATGATATCTAATCTTCAGTATCTATCTATCTATCTATCTATCTATCCTTCCCATATCTATCTATCTATCTATCTATCTATCTATCTATCTAATGATATCTAATCTTCAGTATCTATCTATCTAATCTTCAGTATCTATCTATCTATCTATCTATCTATCTATCTATCTATCTATCTATCTATCTATCTATCTAATCTTCAGTATCTATCTATCTATCTATCTAATCTTCAGTATCTATCTATCTATCTATCTATCTATCTATCTATCTATCTATCTATCTAATCTTCAGTATCTATCTATCTATTATCTATCTATCTATCTATCTATCGATATCTAATCTTCAGTATCTATCTATCTATCTATCTATCTATCTAATGATATCTAATCTTCAGTATCTATCTATCTATCTATCTATCTATCTATCTATATATCCTTCCCATATCTATCTATCTATCTATCTATCTATCTATCTATCTATCTATCTATCTAATGATATCTAATCTTCAGTATCTATCTATCTAATCTTCAGTATCTATCTATCTATCTATCTATCTATCTATCTAATCTTCAGTATCTATCTATCTATCTATCTATCTATCTATCTATCTAATCTTCAGTATCTATCTATCTATCTATCTATCTATCTATCTATCTATCTATCTATCTATCTAATCTTCAGTATCTATCTATCTATTATCTATCTATCTATCTATCTATCTATCTATCGATATCTAATCTTCAGTATCTATCTATCTATCTATCCTTCCCACATCTATCTATCTATCTATCTATCTATCTAATCTTCAGTATCTATCTATCTATCTATCTATCTATCTAATCTTCAGTATCTATCTATCTATCTATCTATCTATCTATCTATCTATCTATCTAATCTTCAGTATCTATCTATCTATCTATTTATCTATCCATCTAATCTTCAGTATCTATCTATCTATCTATCTATCTAATCTTCAGTATCTATCTATCTATCTATCTATCTATCTATCTATCTATCTATCTATCTATCTATCTATCTATCTAATGATATCTAATCTTCAGTATCTATCTATCTATCTATCTATCTATCTATCTATCTATCTATCTATCTATCTATCTATCCTTCCCATATCTATCTATCTATCTATCTATCTATCTATCTATCTATCTAATGATATCTAATCTTCAGTATCTATCTATCTAATCTTCAGTATCTATCTATCTATCTATCTATCTATCTATCTATCTATCTATCTATCTATCTAATCTTCAGTATCTATCTATCTATCTATCTATCTATCTATCTATCTATCTATCTATCTATCTATCTAATCTTCAGTATCTATCTATCTATTATCTATCTATCTATCTATCTATCGATATCTAATCTTCAGTATCTATCTATCTATCTATCTATCTATCGATATCTAATCTTCAGTATCTATCTATCTATCTATCTATCTATCTATCTAATCTTCAGTATCTATCTATCTATCTATCTATCTATCTATCTATCTATCTATCTATCTATCTATCTAATCTTCAGTATCTATCTATCTATCTATCTATCTATCTAATCTTCAGTATCTATCTATCTATCTATCTATCTATCTATCTATCTATCTATCTATCTATCTATCTATCTATCTATCTATCTATCTAATCTTCAGTATCTAGCTATCTATCTAGTCTACTGTATCTATCTTCAGTATCAATTTATAATATTAATCTTCAGTATATATCTAAAATATTTACCCACCATACCTATACTATCTAATCAAGCCTTTCTCAACCAGGGTGCCTGGGCACTCTGGGGTGCCTTGAAATTTTTTCAGGGGTGCCTTGGCAAAATGTCTAAAAAATTGCATGAAAACTTGTATACAAGCCAGCGGGTGGAACAAGCTTGCCTTTTAGTTCCTCAAAGCCACCGATTTTCATAGTGCACCATTACAACCCTCTAGCCGCCAGCATCCTGACAACCAATGACATCATCAGTTGATAAGGAGGATGTCAGCTGCTTGCACAGCATCCTATTTTTTGATCACCCCTGCCCCTCTCCACTAGTGCTGGGGTGACATTAGCTCAGTGATGGAGAAAAAACTGAGGGAGAGGAGAAACACTGGAATACTAGTCAGTACAATTGTGCAAAAGTGTATTTGCTTTGGAAGAATAAATCCCCTCTAATGTTGGGTGTCCTACATGTGTGGATGTTGCTGCGTTATATATAAAAAACTATTAGAACAGTTCTTCACATTTTAGAATGGGGTGCCACGGGACTGTCCACAATTTTAAAGGGTGCATCAAGACTGTAGATACTTTTAAAGGGTGCCTCGGGACTGTCCACATTTTTTAAAGGGTGCCTCGGGACTGTCCACAATTTTAAAGGGTGCCTCGAGACTGTCCATAATTTTAAAGGGTGCTTCGGGACTGTCCACAATTTTAAAGGGTGCCTCGGGACTGTCCACAATTTTAAAGGGTGCCTCGAGACTGTCCATAATTTTAAAAGGTGCCTCGGGACTGTCCACAATTTTAACGGGTGCCTCGACTGTCCATAATTTCAAAGGGTGCCTCGGGACTGTCCATAATTTTAAAGGGTGCCTCGGGACTGTCCACAATTTTAACGGGTGCCTCGGGACTGTCCATAATTTCAAAGGGTGCCTCGGGACTGTCCACAATTTTAAAGGGTGCCTCGGGACTGTCCATAATTTTAAAGGGTGCCTCGGGACTGTCCACAATTTTAAAGGGTGCCTCGGGACTGTCCACAATTTTAAAGGGTGCCTCGGGACTGTCCGTAATTTTAAAGGGTTCCTCGGGACTGTCCATGATTTTAAAGGGTGCCTCGGGACTGTCCATAATTTTAAAGGGTGCCTCAAGACTGTCCGTAATTTTAAAGGGTGCCTCGGGACTGTCCATGATTTTAAAGGGTGCCTCGGGACTGTCCATAATTTTAAAGGGTGCCTCGGGACTGTCCACAATTTTAAAGGGTGCCTCGGGACTGTCCACAATTTTAAAGGGTGCCTCGAGACTGTCCATCATTTTAAAGGGTGCCTCGGGACTGTCCACAATTTTAAAGGGTGCCTCGGGACTGTCCACAATTTTAAAGGGTGCCTCGGGACTGTCCATAATTTTAAAGGGTGCCTGAGGACTGTCCATAATTTTAAAGGGTGCCTCGGGACTGTCCATGATTTTAAAGGGTGCTTCAGGACTGTCCATAATTTTAAACGGTGCCTCGGGACTGTCCATAATTTTAAAGGGTGCCTCAGGATTGTCCATAAATCTAAAGGGTGCCTCGGGACTGTACATAATTTTAAAGGGTGCTTCAGGACTGTCCATAAATCTAAAGGGTGCTTCAGGACTGTCCATAATTTTTAAGGGTGCCTCAGGACTGTCCATAAATCTAAAGGGTGCCCCGGGATTGCCCATAATTTTAGAGGGTGCCTTGACTGAAGAAAAAATGTTGATAAACACTGATCTAATCTAATATATATATATATAGTATTTATCTACTCTATTATCTATGTAATTTTTTTTCTAACTATTGTATCTATCTATCTATCTATCTATCTATCTATCTATCTATCTATCTATCTATCTATCATGTCCTACCTACAATAACTATCATATTAATCTATATTTAATATCTGTAACTCTCTAGTATTTATCTGCTCTATTATCTATCTATATATACCGTACTTATATATTTACTTTTGAAAAATTTGTTTTTATTACTTGAATACCTTCAGAGACATAAAAGCGAGCCTCACCAAGGGTGCCTCGGGACTGTCCATAATTTTAAAGGGTGCCTCGGGACTGTCCATAATTTTAAAGGGTGCCTCGGGACTGTCCACAATTTTAAAGGGTGCCTCAGGACTGTCCACAATTTTAAAGGGTGCCACGGGACTGTTCACAATTTTAAAGGGTGCCTCAAACCTGTCCACAATTTTAAAGGGTGCCTCGGGACTGTCCACAATTTTAAAGCGTGCCTCGGGACTGTCCACAATTTTAAAGGGTGCCTCGGGACTGTCCACAATTTTAAAGGGTGCCTCGGGACTGTCCATAATTTTAAAGGGTGCCTCGGGAATGTCCTTAATTTTAAAGGTTGCCTCGGGACTATCCGTAATTTTAAAGGGTGCCTCGGGACTGTCCATAATTTTAAAGGGTGCCTCGGGACTGTCCATGATTTTAAAGGGTGCCTCAGGACTGTCCATAAATCTAAACGGTGCTTCAGGACTGTCCATAATTTTAAAGGGTGCCTCGGGACTGTCCATAATTTTAAAGGGTGCCTCAGGATTGTCCATAAATCTAAAGGGTGCCTCGGGACTGTACATAATTTTAAAGGGTGCTTCAGGACTGTCCATAAATCTAAAGGGTGCTTCAGGACTGTCCATAATTTTTAAGGGTGCCTCAGGACTGTCCATAAATCTAAAGGGTGCCCCGGGATTGCCCATAATTTTAGAGGGTGCCTTGACTGAAGAAAAAATGTTGATAAACACTGATCTAATCTAATATATATATATATATAGTATTTATCTACTCTATTATCTATGTAATTTTTTTTCTAACTATTGTATCTATCTATCTATCTATCTATCTATCTATCTATCTATCTATCTATCTATCTATCTATCTATCTATCATGTCCTACCTACAATAACTATCATATTAATCTATATTTAATATCTGTAACTCTCTAGTATTTATCTGCTCTATTATCTATCTATATATACCGTACTTATATATTTACTTTTGAAAAATTTGTTTTTATTACTTGAATACCTTCAGAGACATAAAAGCGAGCCTCACCCTAAAGGGTGCCTCGGGACTGTCCATAATTTTAAAGGGTGCCTCGGGACTGTCCATAATTTTAAAGGGTGCCTCGGGACTGTCCATAATTTTAAAGGGTGCCTCGAGACTGTCCGTAATTTTAAAGGGTGCCTCGGGACTGTCCACAATTTTAAAGGGTGCCTCAGGACTGTCCACAATTTTAAAGGGTGCCACGGGACTGTTCACAATTTTACAGGGTGCCTCAAACCTGTCCACAATTTTAAAGGTGCCTCGGGACTGTCCATAATTTTAAAGGGTGCCTCGGGACTGTCCTTAATTTTAAAGGTTGCCTCGGGACTATCCGTAATTTTAAAGGTTGCCTCGGGACTATCTGTAATTTTTTAAGGGTGCCTCGGGACTATCCGTAATTTTTAAGGGTGCCTCGGAACTGTCCACAATTTTAAAGGGTGCCTCGGGACTGTCCACAATTTTAAAGGGTGCCTCGGGACTGTCCGTAATTTTAAAGGGTGCCTTTGGACTGTCCACAATTTTAAAGGGTGCCTCGGGACTGTCCATAATTTTAAAGGGTGCCTCGGGACTGTCCATAATTTTAAAGGGTGCCTCAGGAGTATCCATAAAACTAAAGGGTGCTTCGGGACTGTTCATAATTTTAAAGGGTGCCTCGGGACTGTCCATAATTTTTAAAGGGTGCCTCGGGACTGTCCATAATTTTAAAGGGTGCCTCGAGACTGTCCACAATTTTAAAGGGTGCCTCGGGACTGTCCATAATTTTAAAGGGTGCCTCGGGACTGTCCATAATTTTAAAGGGTGCTTTGGAACTGTCCGTAATTTTAAAGGGTGCCTCGGGATTGTCCATAATTTTAAAGGGTGCCTCGGGACTGTCCTTAATTTTAAAGGGTGCCTCGGGACTGTCCATAATTTTAAAGGGTGCTTTGGAACTGTCCGTAATTTTAAAGGGTGCCTCGGGACTGTCCATAATTTTAAAGGGTGCCTCGGGACTGTCCTTAATTTTAAAGGGTGCCTCGGGACTGTCCATGATTTTAAAGGGTGCCTCGGGACTGTCCATAATTTTAAAGGGTGCCTCGGGACTGTCCACAATTTTAAAGGGTGCCTCGGGACTGTCCATAATTTTAAAGGGTGCCTCGAGACTGTCCATCATTTAAAGGTTGCCTCGGGACTATCCGTAATTTTAAAGGGTGCCTCGGGACTGTCCATAATTTTAAAGGGTGCCTCGGGACTGTCCTTAATTTTAAAGGTTGCCTCGGGACTATCCGTAATTTTAAAGGTTGCCTCGGGACTATCCGTAATTTTAAAGGGTGCCTCGGGACTATCCGTAATTTTTAAGGGTGCCTCGGGACTATCCGTAATTTTTAAGGGTGCCTCGGAACTGTCCACAATTTTAAAGGGTGCCTCGGGACTGTCCACAATTTTAAAGGGTGCCTCGGGACTGTCCGTAATTTTAAAGGGTGCCTCTGGACTGTCCACAATTTTAAAGGGTGCCTCGGGACTGTCCATAATTTTAAAGGGTGCCTCTGGACTGTCCATAATATTAAAGGGTGCCTCAGGAGTATCCATAAATCTAAAGGGTGCTTCGGGACTGTTCATAATTTTAAAGGGTGCCTCGGGACTGTCCATAATTTTTAAGGGTGCCTCGGGACTGTCCATAATTTTAAAGGGTGCCTCGAGACTGTCCACAATTTTAAAGGGTGCCTCGGGACTGTCAATAATTTTAAAGGGTGCTTTGGAACTGTCCGTAATTTTAAAGGGTGCCTCGGGACTGTCCATAATTTTAAAGGGTGCTTTGGAACTGTCCGTAATTTTAAAGGGTGCCTCAGGACTGTCCACAATTTTAAAGGGTGCCTCGGGACTGTCCATAATTTTAAAGGGTGCCTCGAGACTGTCCACAATTTTACAGGGTGCCTCGGGACTGTCCATAATTTTAAAGGGTGCCTCAGGACTGTCCATAAATCTAAAGGGTGCCTCAGGACTGTCCATAAATCTAAAGGGTGCCTCAGGACTGTCCATAAATCTAAAGGGTGCCTCAGGACTGTCCATAAATCTAAAGGGTGCCTCGGGACTGTCCACAATTTTAAAGGGTGCCTCAGGACTGTCCATCATTTTAAAGGGTGCCTCAGGACGGTCCATAATGTTAAAGGTTGCCTCGGGACTATCCGTAATTTTAAAGGTTGCCTCGGTTACTGTCCATAATTTTAAAGGGTGCCTCAGGAGTATCCATAAATCTAAAGGGTGCCCCGGGATTGCCCATAATCTTAGAGGGTGCCTTGACTGAAGAAAATATATATATATATATTAGATTAGATCAGTGTTTATCAACATTTTTATATATATATATATATATATATATATATATATATATATATATATATATATATATAGTATTTATCTACTCTATTATCTATGTCATTTTTTTTCTAACTATTGTATCTATCTATCTCTATCTCTCTCTCTCCATCCATCCATCCATCCATCCATCTATCTATCTATCTATCTATCTATCTATCTATCTATCTATCTATCTATCTATCTATCTATCATGTCCTACCTACAATATCTATCATGTTTATCTATCTTTAAGATCTGTAACTCTCTAGTATTTATCTGCTCTATTATCTATCTATATATACCGTACTTATATATTTACTTTTGAAAAATTTGTTTTTATTACTTGAATACCTTCAGAGACATAAAAGCGAGCCTCAAAGAAGTGAATTGTGTGTCCTGTATAACAGATGTCAGGCATAGTGCTTGCGGCCTCAGGAATCACAGCTGGAGGTGACAATATCCTCGGTGGGATAATCTCACGGGTGCCGGCGTCACAACTGCGAGCCGATTATTCGGTTACTGATAGCACAGTTGCAGTAATGGGCCTAACCTTTCCCGGGTCTGAGTATGTATTCAGCTCTATACGCCTCAGAATAGATCTGGGCTCACACAGACAAGATCTTACCAGGGTGCCAATCAATGGCATTGTCAACAGGTCCAGACGTCTGATACTTATCAGAGTAGCGTTCCACATCTGAGAGAGAGAAAAATAACAGGAGGTTAAAAATAGACGCCACTTCCTGCGTCACCGAGAGGCAAAATCAATATAACACCACGTAGACACAGACACAAACTCTTCCCGGCCAATCAGGAGAGGGGAAAGCAGCCGACGCTTCTGCAGTCGCTGCTGAAATGTGTCACAGGCCGAGCGTGGAGCTTTCGCGGCTTTGTGACAGCGAAAGGGAAAAATTGAATTAAACCATCTTTATTTTGCAAGTGCTAATAGACTCTGAAATGTACACTACGGTCTGGAATCTGGGCCCCGGGAACGGTGATACAATTAGAATTCCTAACAAATCCCCCCCCCCCCTTAGACAGATGGTATTGTGGGGGGTCTGGCTAATGACTCTCAGCCGCTGGGCACAGGGCAATTAAGAAGATGTTAGATGTGTCAGAAGCAGGCTGGCCAGAAAATAAGGTGGCGGGAGGAAGGGGGATACTTGAGAGATACTTAAACAAAAAAAAAAAAAGATGACGGCACGTCAAGTGTATTCTGCCAGACAAGATGGCTACCGATTGGCCCCTGCAAATCGCTCGTTATAAGAAAACAACCAGCTAATCGGCCATTCATGGCAAATTAAGAAGTCTTTTTTTTTTTTTTTGTAAGGGGAATGACCACTGTGCTTTAATTAGCACGTATTTTGTAATAGAAATAATAATACAATGCACTTTTTTTAATTTATATGACAAAACATTAGAGCTTGGTTCAGATTACTGCGTCGGGATTCCACGCAAAATCACACATTTTCACGACTTGCACAGAAATACACTGTGACGGGAGTCACTTTGGGTGGGGGGCCCATGGAACCCAGCTCACTTTGGAGAGGTGGGGAGACCCCTGTCTCAGCTCCCCATATCCCTATTATGTGTAAATCACCCTGTGCCTGTTAGGGGTACAGGGTGATCTGTCCTAATATTGTGTAGACATGTTTAGGAGATAGGTGGGGTGGGGGGTTGTGGATGGTTTGGTGTTGAGTGGCTGCATCCCATTGTTCTATTGTTTGTCTTGCTTAGGAGCAAACTATTATGGGATGTATGTGTTTATGTGTATTAACTTAGTGGGAAGGGGGGTCTCCAGCAGCCCTCCCTCCTGATGGGACTGGCTGCTGGTGTGAAGTTTGAATACCTGTGTGTCTCTTGTTACTAAATGTAGATTGTCCTGGGCTGTGTCATTATGCAGGGAGGGGGGATTGCCCCCTGAGTGTATATATCTTGTATTTGTGTTCATATAAACTAGTCTACCTCTGGCTTACTTCAAATCTGGTGTCATCTGTATCTTGGGGTAACAATAGCGAGAGTCACTGGTCTCGTGTTCCAGAGCCTGAGAAGCAGCTACTTGACGAAGATACACAGTCGTCGGTGTCTGGGGTCCGTTACAAACACTGCCCTTTAGCAGACGCACGGTAGTGCCAATACCTGGTAACGTCACCCCTATGCATATGTTAAGGCTGTGGCACCCTGCAGTTTGGTGCTTCTCTGGGAAAGGGTCAGGCACTTCCGTTCCATATTGCCTATTGAAATGAGTTGGCTGCCCAGCATGTGTGCTCAGTTGTGGAAAGAAGAAAAAAGCAACCGAATGCAT